CCGTGGCTTGCCAGGTCACCAGACCTCTTGAAAATAGAGCACGTTTGGGACATGCTTGGAAGATAACTGCAGCCTTCCTGGAATATTGGTGGATTAACTGTCCATTTGCAAAGATTATGGCATGGTCTTCCATAGGGGATCATAAGTGACCTATTTGATTCGTTGTCACACCGTGTTTTGGCTTGTATAGCTGCCAGAGGTGGCAATACTATTTACTGATTCGTAACTTTTTCATACCGTAACTTATTAATAAAGCAATCCCTTGTTCTGAATTTGTAATCATTTGTTTATCTCCTCATACCCTACACAAAACTTTCGTGATAATAGTTCGTTTCCTTCTGGGTGTCCATATTTTTTTGTGACTGTGTATTATGTCCCTGTTACAGGATAATTTTTTTTCTCATTTTTGATAGTCTTATTTTCACTGTAAAATTTATCTGTAAAGAATATCTTTAAAAATTTATCTGTAAAAAGAAGTAAGTATTAAAAAAAATGTTGATTTATAAATCTAGGAATTGACTATTTTTTTGGGGGGGGGACTCATTGTATTATTCTCCGTTGTAGTTAAGCGAGTTTTTTCTTTTATGCGCTGAAGAAAATTGCTTTAAGAATTATTTTAAATATTCCGATAAATTTCATTGACTTACTGTAAGTAAAAACTTGATTTACTATAAGTAAAATAATAATACTATACTAAGTAACTATACTATATGTAACAATACTATAAGTAAAATTATAGTACAGTTAGTAAAAATATACTATAAGTAAAATACTATAAGTAAAATTGACTTACTATAAGTAAAATAAAAGAATTACTCAAAAGTAATTCTTTTATTTTCTTAATGAAGCATTGCTAAAAGCGAAGGCATTTTTTATTAAAATTGTAAATGTCTCTTTGCCCATATTAAATGTTTCCCTATATGAAATGCTCTATTGTAAATGCTTCTTTGCCTCTTTGAATATCCTTTCCAAAGAATGTAATATTCAGAGATATACACGGTGTCATAATAACTTTCCCTTTAAAATTAACAAATTAACAAGTTTAAAATTAAAAAGTTAAATTTTAGACGACGAATACGCTTAAATAAAATTCAAAATAAGATATTGAAGAATTAATTTATTCGAAATCTCTTGAAAATTATTAAATATTTTTGCCACAAAATTTCTTAACGTGAGCTCAAACGAATCAGTTTGTTGAATTTGATCGACAATAACTGCTTTCTCGTGATATATTAGGGTTGGAGAGACACTGATGCTACTTAATTTTTTTTCCAGAAGGAAAAAGGCCTAACCAGTCACAGTTGTCTGCATGTCATGTCGCGAAAATATTCCTTCCTTCTGACAGGTAGCTATCGAGTTGCTTTACTGTACTCATGATTCTTTTTGTACTTAACCCAAGAAGATATTTATAAAGTTTTACTTATTTTATATGACTACATACTTGCCCCATGAGAAAAATGTCGATATTAAAGAAAATGCTGGAAATGCTAACCACTGATGTTACCCGGACGTGACACTTTAAAAGGGTCTATTTCCACACCATGCAATGTGGAAACTTACGCATGAGACGGCACCAACGGTTAGTCGTTTTCCCGATGACACTGACATTTCCTTACTTCCTTATGATTTTGTGATGAAAATTTCAGTAATGTGCCTTTCATAGCTTACTGAATATTAGTATTTTCATGGATTCAGTCGCGGAAGAATCATCCTGTATAATCAATTAACCTAAACCTAAAACCTGGCATTTAAGTAGACAGGTTAGTTTTTAGAAGAATGGTATGAAATACGCTTGTAATATATATCCTATTTATATACGTCTCTTAAATATAAATTTTTCTGCTCAGAGTAGTAGTAGTTAGGCAACATCATATAGATATACATGTTTATACGAATATCTGCTATTCCAATATGCTGCCTAAACTCCTATGTTAAATTCACTAGTCTTATTTAATAAGATTGCGCCCTAATAGAGACGCATCAAAACCAAAGACAGTTTTTAAGTTCAGCAACTGTTTCACTTGAAATTAAGTTTTAAATTTATTTCCAAAAATTATTTGATGAGTTAGTTGTAACTTAATTATATTTCGGTGTAAAGCACAATTTTTATTTCATTATATCAAGCGGTAGATATACTGGAAGAATGAATATACGGCCTTTTGTTTGAGCTGCTCTAGTAATATTTTAAAGGTTTTAAAAATTCTTACTTTCTTTTAATCATGTATATGTTTTAGTTGTCAATATGTTTAGCGTTATACTAAAATTAAATTTGGAAATCTTTGATTTTCAAGCAAAAATTATTTTAATTATAAAATAAAAATGACTAATGTACATAAAAATGTGCGTTAAGTGTCTAGCGTTGGTAACTGAAATAATTTCTTTAATTTAATTTAATTTAAATTATTCGTTTTTAAAATTAAACATTATTTCATTCAGATACCATTTCCAACCCATAATTAGATAACTTATAAATTAAATTTCATTCTAAAATTGTATAAATTTTGTTACTATTTTCATTAACTTCATCCTTAACATCTTGAAGGTTGTTCGAGATGCTTATTGCTTTCAGTTCGTGGATTTCATATCCCTGCAAAATTACTAATATCATCACTTGAGAGAAGGGTTTGTTCCAAGCCTCGTGTGCAAGCTATCCGTTGAAATTACAGCAGAGCTACGTTCTTGAATAGTAGCAAAATTTATTTTAATTACCACATTTTTGCTTTTGTCAAAATCTGGGGTATACTTCTACTGTTTTTTTTGTACTCCGCCAAGATGCGAGAATATAAAAGAAATTTAAAATAGTATTGCGAATCTAAGATAAGAATTTAAAGATTGTAATTTCAGCAGCTGAGTCATTTGTTAAGACAGAACTTTAACTTAGGAATGGCAAAAGACTTAATTCCGTATTATCTCGAGAACCGGAAATAAATTTGTGTTCGTTAATTTAATTCTGTACTTCAAGCTGAAGTCATAGTAAATTTTTAGTTATTTTACTTTTGCTGTATTCATTTAGTGTTCTGGTGTTTTTAATTAATGTTGAGACAAAAACTGGGCTGTCTGACAAATTTTTATTCCGGCATATTTGCCCCAGCAAATTTGTCTGCTATTATATATTTACCTGATGCTTATGTAGACTATTATTAGGTTATTATATTTGCATATATTTATCTGTTTATGTTATCTGATTTTGTACCTTAGTTTATAAATTTGATGGCCAAGTTTCGTTTGATATGATTGCGACAAAGCACACGAGGGCTATTTTCTTAAGAAGAGGGATGTATTCGTAGAAAGCTTTGCAAAGAAAACTGCCCATATTACACACTCCCTATGTAAACATGAAGAAACTACAAGAACTCCCATGCAGCTAACCGTTCACCGGGATTTAAGTTCGAATCGAACTATCAGGGTTCAGCGGTTTCATCAACTCTGACACTGGTGGGGCAGAAGGCAAGGAAGATAAAGTAGAAGTTAGATGGAAGAAAGACGAGTTTACCGTTATAATTTAATAAAGAGATTTTTGTATCGTTAAATCAGAACACAAATTCTTTATTAAAGAAACGCCCCACGAGTTTAATTTAGAATGGATTGGTATCACAGCACTCATTCTAACTCTTTGGCTTTGCCATTTTGAACGGCTCGTTTTAGATATAATAGTTCATATATTTATGTCTTTAATTACTGGAAGATTAATTCTTAAATTAGTAAGCCAAACCAAAATCAGTACACCGAGGCCAGACTGTAATTTCCAATTAATCCTTATGTTTTTTTATATTTTTATATTCTTTAAACATTAATGGTACATTCTTCGAGGTGTTTTCGACTGCAATTTTAAATTTTCAGATTACAGTTTTTTATATTAACTTATAGTAAACTTACAAGCTTGCATTTTAGCTTTATATCAGCTTTACATCAGCTCTTGCATTTTACATTTTATGTTTATATGCGTGTAAATGTAATTTTGAAATTTTTAAAATAGTTCATTTGTAAGTTATGTTATTTCTGTCTTTGAATCTTTTCTGCACTTCTGCTGTTTAATTTTGCTGTACGGGAAAATGTGAATTATGTGAGTTTAAATAATGAGCAAAAATTTAAATTATAAAGCAATTTGGCAACTTTAGTCCAGAGCGCTGTAAAATGTTTCACCGATTAAAACTGCTGGAAGACTGTGCTGATTTTTCGCCAGTTATCTGTCCTTTGTTGTACGCGAGAAGGAAGTTTCATTTGCACAAGAACCAGGTGGATAATCTTTAATATTCAATTTATAAATGATAAAACTGTTATTATATTCTTAAGCCGTAAGCATCGGAAGTTTAGATTTTTTTTATCCCATTTAGTTGTGACTTCAGACTGAAGTATCTATGAATTTTCTTGTTCCTTTCATACGTATGCTGCCAGAGCCGGATTTAGACTTGATAAGCTTTTTGAGATAAAAATGCGAATGAGGAAGTATTACGGAGTCCCTGGGGTAACACCACGCACCTCCATATCAGAATGAGCAGAGTTGGGGAAAAACAGAAAAGAAAGGAAATGGTGAGTAAAAGGAAAGCTTGCGTGGCTGAGAGGGAGGGGAAGAGAGAGGTGAGAAAATAAAGGGGAGAATTGACGAGAAAAATCAGAGTTAGGTAAAACAAAAGGAGTAAAGAATCATTGGCTATGACAGTAAACTTAACTATGAAGAGCTAGATGAGTGGGTGGAGACTTGGATCAGGCATCCAATGAGAATGCTATTTGAGATATGGGACCCTTTATAAGTATTTTATACTATATTTTAATTTTCTAGGGGGGGCCCTAAGCTATAGCGTGTGTAGCTTATACGTAAATCCTGCTCTGTATATAAAGGTTATGTCAAGACGGGCCAAAACTTGCTTAACAGTCTAGTAAGGTAACTATGCATCAATATTGAGATAAAGTGAAATTAAAATGTAGCCTTATGTATTCCCAAATTAAAATAACTCACTGATAAGACACAAGAATATAATTTAAGGAAAAATATGCAAGTATTGTAAACAACACATCTTTATTTCACATAATTATTGCATCTAGAATATAGTAGCGTAAACATCAATTATACCATTCAAACAGGCCTTTTCTATAAACACATCAACTTTGAATTATATACAGTTCTTGACAACCATTCATTGTTTACACCATTTACAATTTTAGAGAACTTCATGGTACAATTCGTTTCTTTCTTACGTGAGGAAAGAAATTAGTTCGGTTTGGAGAATCACTGACGATAATTTTCATTAAGTTATAATAATGAATAACAATTCTTCTGATACCACGATTTCCGTAAGAGCACATCAGCAGCAGACAGATATTCATATATTCGTTTTTAATCGTACTGGTCTTTGGAATGAGAGCCATAGTTTCTATGAGATAATTTCAGACTTTGATTAAGACATTAACAATATTTTAACGTGATCATCCACGTCACACCTGGGACGTTTCCTTGCAATAGGTATATGGCTAAAAGTGTGTTTCCTAACTTTTCTGCCCTTTTTTGTGTTTTACTCTCTTACATTTGAACAACATTTGAATCTGCTACAATCATATCACATAATGCAAACTGTCAGCTTTCGGGGAGTTAGAGCTTAAAACTTAATGCAGCAGACCACAAACCAATGTTCGTCATATCTTTGAAATTAGGTGTTGCACTCCAGAACAAGAATCCCTTGTCTACAACAACTTCCAGGAACATATTGCCTATTTTATTGAGTATTGGGAGTCTCAAGTATTGGGATTTTCCCAGAACTTAAAGTAGCTTTACGCACATCATAGTGTCATTTTCGGTGTAAATAAAATAGTGGTAAAAAGCATAATTAATCAAGAAGGATAAAGCTCTCCAGTTACTACTATAATATTTTCAAGTTCACTTCTCAGTTGCTTGGATGTGATGTATGGTTTTACTTTCTTCTCGAATTTCTAAGCAATATTGAAAATGGATAGAAGTTATTCAACAAATTACATTACTATTTGAAATTGAATGTTAAGATATTTATGACAGTATTAATATTCTTGATCTTCTCTCCTTTTAAATGCACTTTTTATTCATTTAATTAAACTTTTTTTAGTACTACGTCTTTTGGGAATAAGCGAGGTATAATTAATACAGCAGGTTTGCTGCTATTTCAGGTTATCAAACATTTTTTCCATTCTAAAAACTGAGTAATATAACAATTAACGAAGGCAAATTGTTCATTTTTAGCACCATTTCAAAGAGATTTTTTTTTATTTTATGCTTATTAATGAATTTATCAGCTTATTCAAAACTCCTGTTTTTTACTTTATTCGAATATGAAGATTTATTTCTTTTGGCCCTGAAAATTCACTTTTTGAAAAATTTGAAATTTGAATATGACTTTATTAATGACAGCCCATTATGATAAGGCATTAAACAACATTTGTTATCATTATGAATTATAATAGAAAATATTAACTAAATATTTGATTGGAAAATGTTTGATTTTATTCCATTAAAACAAACTAATCGGCATATAAATATTCATTGTCTAATGTTATATGTATTTAGAATTTATTTAGTGTCCTTGAATATGTACTGTGTACAGTCGAAGCCTGATCCCCGCAGTTATGAATAGTTACTACTGAGAAAAAATACATGTTAGATGACAAGAATATTTCTCCGGAAAAAAAGCTGCGTAATCATGACGTTGGATTATGAAATAAATGTTTTCTAATAATTTTAGATCAAATGGGATCTGAAAGCATTTTATCTGATAATAATACACAGTTATACTGCATTAACTATGCATTTAAAGAGTTCCAGAATAAAGTCGTCAAACGGTGGGAATGCACTTTACTCCCTAAGATACACAAAACATATTGCGAATTATATTATTGCATATTTACGAACTATGGAACTTTGAAAATCAATTAAAAGAGGATGCAGAAACACTGTTTGCTGGTATTACAGTGAGATGTTCCTTTTCTACATATCGAAGCTTGTAGTTTATTCATAATGTAGCGTTTACATATTTTCCACGGGTTGCTTGGATACTTGCGCATAGTTCCTAAGGCTGCAGACGAAGTGAGTACACTGCTTCCAAAGAATGGCCTACCAATGTCTGATTTGAACCAATGTGTCATTTAAAAGTCGACATTTATGTCTGCACAATTAATTCACCAGACAAACTTCGATAGCATGCTGAAAACGCTCTGGAATCGATCTGAAACAATCAAATACCTTGGAATATACCCCAGTAGTATCTACAAAGATGTGTTGCCTGTACTATATCTGATGACTCATTTTGCAAAAATTTGATTGTAACATACAAGTAGATGTGTAATCTTTCTTTGGTCTTCGTTATACAAAATGCCGCTCATGTTGCATCTCAAATTTGGTAGCTGCAACACTATCGATTAAAGCTGAGAACCCCGCGCTATTGAAAACTAGGATCATATTACCTGATTTATGCTCCTTCATTAAGCTCTGTGTATCTACCTTATTAGCTTGGATTTCGCAGTTAGTTTCTGCATATCCTTATTATTGACACTCCTTTTCAAATAATGAAGTACACTTTTTCTGCCACTTGTACACTGGAATTTTTTTTTCTTTATATTCGGCTCCTAAAATGCATTCCCAAAGCTAGGCGATTTTTATTTCAGACACTTTTATACGCATTTGCACATGTGTGTGAAATGCATTAGAATAACGTTTATTTAAAAATGTATTTATTGGGTTTGAGTTTCTTTAAACAGTATTAATGGGAAAACTTACCGACAGACAAATACAGTAGATCAACATTTCGCAGAAAATGTTTTAGGGAACAATGTTGTCCAAGCATTGACTTTAAGGCTTTATCATTTCTTATGTATCGCTTTAGCATATACTTTATTGCAAAAGAAATTTAAAGATCCTTTTGACACACATTTTGTTTTAATCACAGTAGTTTGAGTATGCTAGCAAGATTCCAAAACAACAAATGGTACGGGACATAATGGAATAATTCCTGAATATTTCTCAGTCTCCCACAGAATCTTCCACGTACCATTATTAGCGTGATGCATTATTTAGTTTAAGGATGGCCTTCGGATAATGTTCTTCACAGTCCTAGAGCTGCCGCATGTTTCTGAGCTTTCAACCGGAGATCTGCGATGCTTGAGTTCTTGTTATTTAATCTTTCGGCTGCCATCAATGCTGATAAACTGAAAGGGTGAGTGGGTGTTGGGTAGAAAAGGAAGCTGTGATGAGGAGTTGCTGTCCCAGAAGTTGCTCCTGTAGTAGCACCAGCTGACGTCGTGTTGGCTACAGCTGCTGCCGCAGCTGCAGCGGCATAGTGTTGGGCGGCCGCAAGGAAAGCCGGATCTGCATAGGGCAAGTAATGAGCTCCTGGAACCAGATATCGCTCTTGGGGCAAACGAGCCATGGCACTTGAGACGTTGATGTAGGGTGCGATCCTAGAGGACTCGATGGGCGTACTAGAAGCCATCATCAGATCGGAAGAGAGGGAGTTCGGGCCGACTGGAATGAAAACAGAATACTTGTATTACAACTTGTAAAATACGATTTACCAGCATTCAGAATGCATGATAAATATATCTAATTGAGAGAAAACACTATTAAATACCGAGTATTAACAAATAAAACTCTAAACCGTCATTGGAAGGTTCTATAAACGAATCTTAAAGAAACCGATTTTTCTGATTTTTCGAAATTCTTTAACAATATATTAACGCCCACCAGCGGCCGAGCGGTAAAGTCGCTGAACACTGGTAGTTCGGTCCGAGGTTCGAAACCCGCGAACGGGCTGGCTGCATGGGTGTTTTCGTGGTTTTCCCCATGTGTAACGTGTATACGAGCCAGTTTCCCTTAGAAAGTCCTCCACGAAAGGCATCCCTTCCCTTTGGCAGATAGCCCTAGTGTGCTTTGCCGTAATTAAATACACCACACACCTTAACAATATATTAAGAATTTCTAGTAGGTGAAATTTGGAAAAGAATAGTATAAAATCCACAATAAGAGTTTAAATTTAAAAAAAAGTAAAAACTAAAAATGTTCTGAAAGCGTTTAGATTTTAACCGTCGTCCAAGAAGACATAAAAAAGTTAAAAAATTTTTTAAAGATTTTATCAAAGTTTAAAAAAGTTTGTTAGTAGGTATTACCAATAGAGATCGTCCAGATGGAATAGGGAAATATTTTATAGGATACTAACTAGATGAATATACATTTAAACTAACAAGGAAACATTATATATTTTCTGTTTATTTGAAAAGTGAAAAATATATAACATAATTATATAAAAATACTTAATGCTTTTAATTAAATATATCATGAACAAAACGCATTTTTATTCAAATCAATCAAATTAAAAAGTAAAAAAATAGTACTCTTTAGAACTGCCTTTATTGCTTTTAAGTAGCTTAATCTGTTATAAAGTAACAGATAGATTAAATTTTAACCATAACTATCTTACACTAATGGAATTTTACTCTAATGGAAACAGATTCGAATAAAAAATGAAACAATGCATTTACATTGGACACATTTTAAGCGAATCATCGCAAAATCGTGTTTAGAGACTGATAATTTAATAAATAAATAAAAATAAAAAATAAAATGAAAATAAGCTAGTTGTGATTCATCTTTTCTTTTCCATATCCTTATTAATTGAGCAAAGTAACTTCTGCTTCCCGTTTCTGCTCATTAATATTAAGTAAACTTTTTAGTAATTAAAAGGGCCATTTATTGATTTTCCCCCTTTTAAACAACTTCTGTTGATATTTATTTTTACTACATGTATATGCAGAGGTAAGTCTAAACATTATGATCACACTTCTGTTCTGAGAATATGCTTGCCAGAATGAGACAGATGGTACGTGGCAAGGGCGGGAATGCTATAGAAGGATGAGGGGGGAGAGATACTGATGCATAATGCTCTCATCTACACGTGAGTATAATGGAGAAAGCTCATGATCTAAGCACCTTTGATATAGACCAGCGATTGTGATGGTCCGAAATTTACGGACGAGTATCTCCAAAATGCCTCATGTTCCTTATACGGTTACAAGCTGCCGTTGCTAAAACGCATAAAAAATGAAAGACAGATGGCGAAATCAGTAGGAAATGTCGAGATATTGCACATTCAAACTTAATTTTCGAACGCAAGCTTAATTTTGGAAGTCAAAGGCTCTTTCGCTTGGTGAGCACAAATAGAAAACTGTTTGTGTTTAAACAGAGTGCTGAAAGCAATTTAGATCCAAATGTAAGGGCATGTGAGTATATATTTCAGGCGAATCTTTTGCAATTGCGACTACAGAGCAGATACTGCTCCCATGAGTTTTTGTCAAACCAGCATAATCAGTATTCACGACATTTGCACTTGAAAATCGCCCCATAATAACTTTAATGACCGAGGCAAGACGGTAATGTTTTATTTAATGGGATGCCTGCTTTTTACCATGACTACAAATGACGATAACAATTGTTGTATGGAGTTTTACTTTCAGAGACAACTTTTAGACAACTTTTAGAGAAAGAAAAATCTGGAAGAGCTTGTTGAAAGTAATGAAGTTTCTGATCTAGACAGGCAACTGCTTGATTAGTGCAAACATGCACAACATTTTGAATCAAACATGAATGTAATCAGGGTAAATGACACTAAAATATCGCATTTTGATAGCATTCAGATTCGTATTGAAGCCTCGCACAACAACATGGACTGGGACCCGCTTAAGAGAGCTCCCATTTTACAACCCTGTGACAAATGGTTATGCAGCCTCCCCGTCTAACTTTAAATCTCTACTAGTAATGAATTCGTGGCTATAGAGAATAACGATTTTGAAGAAATTTCTGAAGAGCCAGAAAAATTATCAATTTCTGATAAAAAAAAAATTATCCCACTCGCCCAAACACAACGTGGGGAAACTTCACAGAAGGCCAAAGGAATTTCCTAGTCTCTAGAAAAATCAAGCGACCCGAGCCCAAATAGTCCTGTTACGATGGTTCTGAATAAATATCAAATGACAATCTACCAACGAATTCTCTTGCCATCAATCAAAAATTAATTTGGGAAATTCCGTCGAGGTTTTTTAATATACCAGATGCAAAGCTAAGATCTCGACTGTTATGATTAAGAACTGAAAGATAGGTTCATTAAAAACTGCAAATAGGACTTGCTCCTCCCGTTTCGATTAGCCACCTTTAGGAAGATGATGGCACAGGTATTACGTTTATACCTTAGGAGTTTTGGACAGTTTAACGTACTACAGAACTTCAGGTAAAGTGAACTATTTAGCTTTCGTCTCACAGTGTGTCAATTATATTTCAGGAAAGGAAGATTATAAGATTTTTTTAAATCAGGTACATTGTCAAGAATGCGCCGTATTAGGTGATCTTGGACGTCACCGAAATTGTATCAAGGTATTTTCAGTGGGTTCGTAAACATCGTTCACTGGACTATCAAGAATGGAAAAGAATTGTCTAGTGGGATAATTTGCGATTGATTTTTTACATCATGTCGATGATTGTATGAAGATATGCTGCGTTCAGAATCAAAAACAGCTGATCGACACATGTACAGCGGGGTAAGAACAGGCCGGTGGCAGAGGTATTATGCTTTGAGAAATGTTCTCGTTGGCGTCCTTGAGACCGGGGTTTATTGCAGAATACTCCATAATAACTACAAACTATGTGAACAATATTGCTAAGCAGTTCCACCTTTCTACATGTATTTTCTTCCTCGTAGCATATAGATTTTTCTAGCTGGACAACGCTTCTTGTCATAAGGTCATAATTATGTTAAAGCTGTTTAAGGATGCATTTCATTTAATTAATTTCATTTGATGCATTTCATATCTCCTATTTTACTGCATATTAATCTTATTGAGCTTACTTGGATGTCATAAAGTACCCCGAACACGTTTTCATACTGTACCGGAATTGCCTGACCACTGATTGTAAAACTGGCACAACCTCCTAGAAATTTATCTAGGACTTACAGAATCCATGCTGTGACGGGTTACAGATGTTTTGTGTGCAAAAGATGGGGCAACGAGAGTGGCCATAATGTTTTGCTGATGGGTACGTATGTTCATGTAGTGAAATCATACATGATATGGTTAAAAAACTGAAAATATAACATTGTAAATATTTGCATTCTATTGTTTATTCTTTGAAGAGAATCTGTTATAGTACTGAAGAAGAAATCTGCTTTATTTCCCAGCTTTTATTTCTTCGTATAATTTTTTTTTAAATATTTAGCATATATTTTAATATTTAGTATGTAACATAACCTTTATATGAGATGTTTAACATATTATTTATCTTCTGAACACCTCAGATTTAGAATTCACACTCAATTTTACAGCGGCGTAAGCGATAATGTCAAATTCTGAAACTTTCGCATTCTTTATTTTTTAGCACTGAATACGGGATATCACGCTTTTCAGCAAAACATTTTTTCGTTTTAAAACTATTAAATATATTTTGTCACTCTAAAAAAGCAATAACTAACTCTGTTAAAGTCAAACTATTAGGAGATAAACTAAATAATTAACTAAACCAAATAAAAATAATACTAAATCAATAATAAAGAAACAGTCACAATACCAATAACAAATAATTAATTCCAAAACCAAATAAACTATACCAAATAATTTCAATAAAGGGTTTAACATTCTGGCAATAATTAACAGCAACAATTTATAAATAAGCAGCTTAAATGCAGTGTCATTTCTGGTCCGTATTAAAGGGAAGTATTTCTTGTCAAAGAAAAAAAAAAAAAAAAAAAAAAAAAATATGAATTTCGTTGTCTGGTATATCGAAATCACCTCAAAGAGGACTTTTTAGTGGCATCTCAAGACTTTCCACATGACTCACAGACATTTTAAAGATGGAAAGAGAATCTATAAAAAATATTTAGACCAGTGGCTCTTAAAACATTCTTGTTCTATGCACCTCTTTCACAATTGATAGAGGATTATACCTTCTTTCTTCTTAAAACTCGAAAAATACTGGATTGGCAAGAAAGTAATTTCGGTCTTTTAGAGTGAAATCAAACTCAGTTTTTCTATACAAAAATGAACTTCGTTCAATCAAATATCTTTCATTCTGTTTGATGACCTTTTGCCATCTTTCTAGTACTGCATAATTCACTAGTACTTTCATAACTTATAAATACCTTATAAAGGTGGGAGAAATACCTTATAAAGGAGGAGTATATAAGGTATTTCTCCCACCTTTTCTCATGCCTTCAGGGTGCAACTGGAAGCATACCCGACGCGCAGAGAGGTACCGGCGAGAGCATAGCTCATTTTTTGCATCGCTTGCTTCCCCCCCAAATAAAACCTAATGACTCTACAACATTTATTTAAATTTAGATTTTTTTAATGTGTTTTATAAATTAAAGAAGAAAAACTACAGAAAATTTTGATAAATACCAAAACTTGAATTAAAGTTTTATATATATATATATATTATATTTTATAACACAAGTAAATAAAGAGCAGAATAAATACTATAGA